AGCACCCACATCAGGAAGCTAACAACTGCTTGAAACGCTAGCTCCAGGGGATATTCAGTCTCCAGCCTCTCTAAGAACATTCGTTCATGTGCACACACACCTCCCCAAGAATGTGCACTCATGTGCACAGACACACACACGTAATTAAAAATAACAAAAAGGAATTTTTTTTAAAAAAAAAAAAAAAAAGAGGAAATTCAGGAAGAAATACAGGTTGGGGAGACGGTCTCAGTGCCTAGAGTGTGGGGACTGAAGTGTGAACCCCCAGATCCCATGTGAATGCCAGGTGGGGCACAGAGGCCTGCCTTGGACTCAGCCTCAGAAGGCATAGTCAGGGGGCCCCTGGAACAGGCGAGGAAAACTAGCCATGTCTGTGAGCACTGGGTTTGGTGGAGAAGAGAGCTTTCCTCAACAGGAAGGGGAAAGAGAAAGGCCCACATCAACCTTGGGTCTCCACATACATGTGCATGCACACTAATACATGCATGTCACTCATACACACATGTGCATCCTATATACATGCACGTAAACAGAAAACAAGTAATAAATAAAAAGCAAAACCAGGCATGGTGCCACAAGCCTTTAATCCTGGCATTGGAGGCAGATGGATTTCCATGACTTGAAGGCCAGTCTGACCTGCATAGGAAAAGGAAGTCACCTAGCTGTTGGGGGTCATGTGAAGGCAGGTGAGGTCTCCAGTTCCTGAGGCTGAGTTTTCCTCTGAACTTAACAATTAGTCTCAAGAAAGCAAGGGCTGTGCCTGGGTGCAAGGGCCACCAGAGTGCAAGAGCCACCAGAGTGCAAGAGCCACCTGAGTGCAAGAGCTACCAGAGTGCAAGAGCCACCTGAGTGCAAGAGCCACCAGAGTGCAAGAGCTACCAGAGTGCAAGAGCCACCTGAGTGCAAGAGCCACCAGAGTGCAAGAGCCACCTGAGTGCAAGAGCCACCAGAGTGCAAGAGCCACCTGAGTGCAAGAGCCACCTGAGTGCAAGAGCTACCAGAGTGCAAGAGCCACCTGAGTGCAAGAGCCACCTGAGTGCAAGAGCCACCAGAGTGCAAGAGCCACCTGAGTGCAAGAGCTACCAGAGTGCAAGAGCTACCAGAGTGCAAGGGCTACCAGAGTGCAAGGGCCACCAGAGTGCAAGGGCCACCAGTGTGCAAGAGCTACCAGAGTGCAAGAGCCACCAGAGTGCAAGAGCTACCAGAGTGCAAGAGCCACCTGAGTGCAAGAGCCACCAGAGTGCAAGAGCCACCAGAGTGCAAGAGCCACCAGAGTGCAAGAGCCACCTGAGTGCAAGAGCCACCAGAGTGCAATAGCTACCAGAGTGCAAGAGCTACCAGAGTGCAAGAGCCACCTGAGTGCAAGAGCCACCAGAGTGCAAGAGCTACCAAAGTGCAAGAGCCATCAGAGTGCAAGAGCCACCTGAGTGCAAGAGCCACCTGAGTGCAAGAGCCACCAGAGTGCAAGAGCCACCTGAGTGCAAGAGCTACCAGAGTGCAAGAGCCACCAGAGTGCAAGAGCTACCTGGGTGCAGACCCACCTGGGTGTAGACCCACCTGTGTGCAGACCCACCTGGGTGCACAGCCACCTGGGTGCAGACCCACCTGAGTGCACAGCCACCTGGGTGCAGACCCACCTGGGTGCAGACCCACCTGGGTGCACAGCCACCTGGGTGCACAGCCACCTGGGTGCAGACCCACCTGGGTGCAGACCCACCTGGGTGCACAGCCACCTGGGTGCAGACCCACCTGGGTGCAGACCCACCTGGGTGCACAGCCACATGGATGCACAGCCACCTGGGTGCACAGCCACCTGGGTGCACAGCCACCTGGGTGCAGACCCACCTGGGTGCAGACCCACCTGGGTGCAGACCCACCTGGGTGCACAGCCACCTGTTGTACATCTTTGATCTCCCCCTAACTTATCCAGGCAACCTGGCCAGCTCCTTCAGGAAGAGACAGGGCCAGGGACAGACTATGTGGGACACCTGGCCCAGGTGAAGACTTAAAAAGGGCATCCCATCTCACCCATGTCACTTCAGTCAGAATGGGTATGGTCAGGGAAAAACCAAAGAAACAAAAATAACACCAATTCAGGCAAGGAGCCTTATTCATTGCTGGAGGAATGCAGACCCGTGTCAGATGGAAATCCATGTGGATGTTCCTCAGAAAACTAAAGACAAGTTCTTACCAGCATATAACCCAGCTCTACCATTCCTGGGTGCACACCGGAAGGACTCTCCATCAGTTTACCACTGAGATACTTGCGCATCCAAGTTTACTGCTGCATGGCTTATAATAGGAAACAGAACCAGCCTAGATGCTCATCAACAGATAAATGGATTTAAAAAAAATGCAGCTCACAAGTGCAATGGAATTCTATGCAACCCTGAAGAACAGCGAAACCATGATATTTGCAGGAAAGTGGGTGAAACTGGAAATTATGTTAATCAAAATAAGGCAGACTCAGAAAGACAAAGACTGCCTGTTTTCTCTTATTGGTGATTTAAAATTACACATATATGTATATATATAATTATATGTGTGTGTGTGCCCCTGCATGTGTGTGTATGTGTAACTGTGTGTGCATAGATGAAGAAACTCTGGGAAAGGGATCTGAAAGGAGCTAGGGAAGAGCGAGGGGGGTGGAATAAATGTAACAGAGGGAGTCAGCCAAAGGAAGCAAGGGAGATGGTGGTGCAGGAGGGGACAAGTCGGAAGTATGAAACATGTGCGTGGTGAGTCATTATTGTATATGATAATCCAAAAAAGACTAGGAATAGCTGAATAGCTGGCCCTGGTGACACACACCTTTAATCCCAGCCCTTGGAGGCAAAGCAAATGTTTGAGGGGTAGCCTGGTCTACACAGTGAGTTCCAGTCCAGCCATGGCAACATAGTGAGACCCTGTCTCAGAAACAATACAATAATAATAACTCTGTGAAGACGGGGGTGGTGGTGCTCACCTGTAATCCCAATACTTAGGACGCTGCAGCTGGGCATCGGGAGTTTCAGGCCCGCCTGGCTACACAAGTGGACCGTCTCACCCAGATCTGCCCTCACCGAAATGCGTTTTATTCAAATATGGTAGCATACCAGAAAGTTCACGGTGGGGACATAGCTCGATTGGAGGAGCGCTTGCCCAACATTCAGGAAACCCATCCCTAGAAGAAGCCGGCTATGGTGACCTGTAATCAGGGCACTTGGGAAGTAGGAGCAGAAGGGTATGAAGTTCAGGGTCATCACTGGCTACACAGGAGTTTGTGGCCAACCTGGACTACATGAAAGCTGCCTCAGCAGCAAGAAAAGTACCCTGCGTGCTGAGTCCTCAAAGGGGGCACACCTGTGTAACCAGTGTGGCTGAGGTAAAGGTGCTCTGCAGCTACACAGAAGTAAACACGGACTTCTGACAACTCACAGACGACTTGGAAACAATGAGGCTTAGTTCCAGGGGCCCTGATCTGAAACAGAAAAACTTAAAGGTGGGACGCTGAGGCCAGCAGGAGACTGGAGCTGCTTTTGAAGGCAGGTGAGGCCCAGCCTACCGACTCAGGTAAGCCGGGAAGAATGCAGCAGCCGCCAAGCCCTCCAAGCCGCGGGCGCGTCGCGGTGACTCAGCCCGTACCAGGAAGAAGGAGTGCACCCAAGCTCTCCTCCAGACAGCAGCCTGATCTCGGAGGGCTCTGGGAGCCGAACCAAGCCCTCCGCGGCGAGCATCCCGGCATCCAGGGCGGGACCCCCTCCCGTCCCGCCTCCTTCCTTAGAGCAGTAGCTCCAGCCCATCGCCGGGACGGACGAGGCTGAGGGTGGTGAGGGCTCTGCGGGCGCCGTGGGGGCCACGCGGGTCCTGGCCCCGACGGCGCCCAGAAGACCTACAAGAGCTGTAAGTAGTGACTTCGAGGGCTGGGAGGCAACGGTGGGGAAGGCCCATCCCTGGCGCCCCAGCTTCCCTCTGGCTGTAACGCGGGCTGGGAGGAGGTGGCCTGGCGCCGCCGCCTCCCTAATTAGCCCTGGTGGTACCGACTCAGACGCCGGGCTTGGGGCAGCTCAGGTCCAGTGTGGGTCCCAGAGGGGTTTCCTACTGAGGATCACCCCACCTGGCTGCCAACAAACTCTCGGAATCGGGTTCTGGAGTCACTCTGGGAGTCTCCGGACACCCCCCCCCACACACACACACCACACACCCACACACACACACACACACACACACACACACACACCCTGATTGGTGACAGCTCCTCCCCACCATCAGAGTTTACAATCCCAGCCGGGCCAACAAACTGACCTCTCCTTACCTCCTTCTACACTCATCCTCGTGTTTGAAAGTTGGGGTGCCAGCCTGGAACGGGGATGGCAGGGCACTGGGGATGCTTCTGGCTGCTATGGGACGGAACGGAGTAGGGGGGGGGCGACTGGTGAGACACCAGAAACCGGAGGTCCAGTTTCTGGCGGGCTGGACCCCAAACTCCAGGCACCCAGCTTCCAAGTGGAAATCGAGGACGTGAACAAAGAGCACCAGAGGAACTAGGTTGCTCTTTGGGACAACGCGATTTGAGGGCTACTACTATTCAGACCATTGTCCCGGGGTGATTGTGACTTCTTTCTTTTGGTATTCTGAAAACTTTTGCAAAGTTTAAAACCAGAGGAACACACGCGGCTCCTTGTGCAACCGGCGAGGTTCTCCCGGCCTGAGGAGGCGGAGATCTGGGGAGACTGGAGCCCCTGGCTCTGAGCGAGGGGAGGAAACCAGACGAGCTGGCTTCCTGTGGGGGCTCGGGCCTCGGACGCCCCGCGGACAGACGTGTCCTGCCCTGGCAGCGCCGAGCCCCGCAAGGGGGAGGGGATGCGTGGGGGGCAGGGGGGAGGCAGAGACAGCGAGGAGGGGGCGGGGACAGGGTGGGCCAGGGAAGAGGGGAGGAGCGAGGGGGCTGGAGCGAGAGAAGGAAGAAGGAAGGGGCGATCGGTGGGTGCGAGCTGGCGCTGGAATGGGAGCCAAGAGCGAGTGAGCGGGGAGGGGGCGCGGGCGACACCCAGGTGTCGCATGGCGGGGTCCACGCGGTGACCTGCCTGGGAGCACAGCTTGCACGCGTCTGTGCTAGGGCACCCCAGCCAGTCCCCGGTTCCCCACGCACACTCGGGGGAGGCCCGCCCCGCCCGCTGAGCGCTGTTTTCTCCAGGTCCCGGGCCGATGTCCCAGGTGAGCGGTCAGTGCCTTCCTCTCTGCGACGCGCCCCATGGAGTCCCCAGCGCTGCCCTGGACCCAGGTAGGAGCGGGAATGGAAAGCGAAGATGGACCGCAGTGGGGTGGAAGGCTAAGAGGGTTTTTCGGGGGTGGGGTTGCTAGTTCTCTAGCGGAGACACAGGCGGATAGCTCCCAGGAGCTTGGGTGGGAGTAGGGATGAGAAGTCTGAGTGTTGGGGACCCGGTCTAAGGGGAGTTGAAGGGAGTAGAGGGCTAGGGTGAGGAGGCCGGGCCGGAGCAGGCAGCCATGGCTGAGCGGAGTTGGCTCCAACTCCCCCCAGCCCCAGCTACACACACACACACACACACACACACACACACACACACACACACACACACACACACTCCGTGGTGTCTGCCCATAATATTGGGATTTGTGTCCCAACCATTTCTGCCCAGTGTGTAAATATTTATGAGGGCCTTAGGCGGGGTGTGTGGCGGGAGGGGGGGGGCGGTGTCTGTGGCTCCCTTCCCCCAAACTAAGCAGAGTATAGTTCGAGCGCTTTTTGAAAACTTTTGTTCCAGCAACTAGTGGCTACAAACCTGGCCCCTTCCCTCCTTGCTAGCTGCGGCTCCCTCCGCCCAATCTCTCCCCAGCGTGGCACACACACACACACACACACACACACACACACACACAGAGTCTACAACGCCCCTTCCCCCACCTCAGAGGCTAAACTACCCTGATTCTCCCCGACCCTACAGACTAAGGAAGGGTGTGTGGAGACCTCCCAACCTAGCTTCCCAGTGCCTTGTCCTCACAGGCTAGAGCTTTCTCTTAAGGGCGGCTCTATGGAAGTCCAGATTCGGTCAGAGTTGGGGTTGAGGGGTGGGGTGCAAAAGTGTAGGCCCAGATTTTCTGACTGAAACCCCTGTTTTGGCTCAGTCAGAAGCCCTGCCTTCCTCCCACCCAAACTAACCTCTCCCTTTCCTCCAACTGTGTCAGTAATGAAGATCCAAGCCTGGACCTCAAACTCCCCTCATGGTCCTAGACAAGTCCTTTCCCCTTCTCTGGCCTCAGTCTCCACCCCCACCTCCCACGCCCCACCCCCAACCTGGCCCCTCTTGCTGGTGTGTCTGTTTGGGGAGTGGTCTCAGCTGCCTGTCTACCTGGCAGGCCCCTCACAACTGCGGAGGTGGAGGATCTCCAAACACTGAGGGATGTCTGGCCAATGGAGACGAGTGTCTACTCTGTCTTTGCCAGCCCTAAGTCCCTGTTCTGGTAGAGCCCTTGACTTAGGGCTTAGAATTCTGGGGAATATGCTCTTCCAAGGACTAGGCTCCTTCAGCTTGGAAGGACAGTGGGGAGCAGGCGGCTGGGAGGCCTTTGTGTCTGGGAACTTTCTCTCTCTCTCTTGGCCTCTCTCCCACCCCCACTTTTCCATTCTTTCTTCCTTCATTTTCTCTGCTCTCTCCTCTGATATCTCTTTCCAGACCCCCTCTCCTTTCTGACGTGCTCTCCACCCAATAGCAGAGGACGGGATCAAAGTGCGCTCGAAACAGGCTGCAAAGTCCAGGGGGAGCTGCTGGGAAACCTTAGTCCTGGGCTGTAATCTGAGGCCCCCAGTGTCTCAGCAAGCCCCCTCCCCAGCCTGAACTGGGCCAGACAATGTGGCTTTTGTAACACTTGTCCCGTTCTGTACTGTTCTGCCTGCTACCCAGGAAGCCCAAACCGCAGGAGATGCAGCCAAAACCCCACAGATGCCTGATCCTGAGACCAGAACCCCCCATGCTCCCTGTGTGCCCACAGGACAGGAGGCCACAGCACTGTCCCCAGAGTGAAAGCTGCTGGCAGGACAACCAGGGTGTGACATGCCTCCTCTTTCAGGCATCCAAGATGTGGACGGGGCACAGAGAACTCAGGGCAGTTGTGGTTAGGGCAGGTTTCCAAGTCCTCACACTCTTGACTCTCCCCCTGGCCTCTTCCCCACCCATTCCTGAGAGCCCCAAGAGCCTGGCTCCCTAACCCACAAGATTTCTGCCTAGCACTGGAGTGTCACATTTCTATCCATGGCTCTAAATTCAATTTCCTGAGAATTGGAGCCCTTGGACCTAAAATAAAACTGGATTGAACATAACCGGCAGCTCAGATCCTCGCCAGGCCTCCACTTAGCGGCCTGGGTCTCTGACTAGTGGATTTGCTAAATGGACATCAAAATAGTCCACCTTCTCTGGTCTCCTTGGGCTTCAGAGCCAGATGCCATCCGTAATCCTTGATGTGGCCCCTCTTCCTCCTTCCCCTAACCTGGGGCATTCTGAACTCCGACACTCAGCCCCAGACATACAGAGTACGTACTGACCACCAAAAAAGGGAAGGAGATGAACAAGGGTCCGGTTTGTAGGAGAAACTGCCACTTCATTGCCAAGTTGTCAGTAACGGGGCCGTGTGGAGGACTGACTGATATCACAAGTGTCAGGGAAGGCTTTCTGGAGAAAGGGATGAGGTTGCAGCCAGACCAGGGAGGTTGGGCGGCCGTGTGGCCATGAGGAACTATGTAAGCACAGGTACTGTTGTGATGACCCCGGGGCCTGGACAGGCTAGTCTGCCTGGAACACAAGACCTTTGTACATTAACTGTAGATGTGTGACAGAGGCCGCTAGTGTCTAGTCATGCTGGGAGTGAATGTGAGGTTTCAGCCACCACTCTCTGGCCTAAAGTCCTGGTCTTCTCTTTCCAGAGACAGCCATAGCCCAAAGGGCAGGGAGCTCAGGCCCACTGTGCACAAAGACAATGCTGGGGCCGGACTCGGAGCCCCAGAACATGGGAACTGGCCAGGTTTGAAGTGAACCCATCCCACCTGGAAGGGGTTCTCCTCTTCCTTCCTGGTGGAGAACCACGCCCCAACCTGGTGGATATCAGACAGAGGGAGCCCACAAGGTCCCTGCTGCTGGAGTGAGTCTCCCCAACTTTCCTGCGGGGCGTGTGGATTTAAATATGTTCTTCCCAGTCCTTTCGAGAGAGACTCGCAGATCCCACGTTAGGGATGAGCATGGGTTGGAGTGACTCCTGGCTGGATTTCACCAGGGGTGCCGGACACTAGCATGTTTGAGGTCACTGTAAATTAAAGAATGATGTCACTCTGGTCAGGTGGGTGAGAGATGTAGAGCTGGGTGGCCAGATGGCACCTGCTAAGACCCCAGCTGGGGACATCAGCCCCTCTCCATCGATGCCCTCAGCAGGGTCCTTTATGCATGCCCACGGTGTTCCCTCTTGGCCCTTCCCAACTCCACCTTTCTTCTGCCCTCTCTCTCACCCACACGTCAGGAGATTCTCCTGAGAGATACTCTCTTCTCCATGGCGGGACAGTGGAGTCTTTGGGTTGCAGAAGGATAACTCGGCTCTTTAGCCCCTTGATCTGCCAGCCCTCCACCCACCTGTGCCCGGCTCTCCTGTCCCACCTGTACCCTGGCTCTTCTGTCCCCTGTGCCCCGCTCTCCTGTCCCACCTGTACCCTGACTCTCCTGTCCCCTGTGCCCTGGCTCTCCTGTCCCCTGTGCCCTGGCTCTTCTGTCCCCTGTACCCTGGCTCTTCTGTCCCCTGTACCCTGGCTCTCCTGTCCCCTGTGCCCGGCTCTCCTGTCCCCTGTGCCTGGCTCTCCTGTCCCCTGTGCCCGGCTCTCCTGTCCCCTGTGCCCGGCTCTCCTGTCCCCTGTGCCCGGCTCTCCTGTCCCACCTGTGCCCTGGCTCTCCTGTCCCCTGTGCCTGGCTCTCCTGTCCCCTGTGCCCGGCTCTCCTGTCCCCTGTGCCCCAGCTCTTCAGTCCCACCTGCCCTACAAGTGCTGTTCCCAGCCCACGCCTCGGGGTCCAGATCCTGACTGCCTTTTTCTTCCAGCTCTGATGGCCTGTCTCTGAGCACTTGCTTTGTCCCTCCTCTGCCCCCCACCGTGACTGTCCTAGCTTCAGGAGGTCTGTCCCTCGTGTCCAGGCCGAACATTGACGTGAACTGACGTGGTCCCTGAATGGCAAACTTCCTCAGGCCACGGTCTGGTCTCTCTAGAATTTTTTTGTTCCATCCAGGTTCAAGATCACCAGCTTGTAGTGATTATAGGGAGAGCCACTTGGGTGAGAGGGACAGAGACGGGGACTCCCATCTCCTCAAACCCTCTTTCTTGTCTTCTTCTCTGGCGGATAACAGAGCAGGAATCTTGACTCTGTCTCTTCAGGACTGTGCACTCTGGTGACCTCAGGAGAAAGTCTGGGAAACCGAGGGACTTTAATGACCAGCTGCTGTTCCAGGCTCCCAGCCTCAGTAACACCAAATGCCATGTGCTCCCTCGTGCCCACCGAGCTGGTGGCTCTGGGTCTTGGTTCCCATTGCTCTTCTCAGAACCCTCACCCACAATGATTGTTTAAGATTCAGTGGATACTGCCTTCTCCAGGGTACCTCCTGACACACACACACACACACACACACACACACACACACACACACACACACACCAGCAGGCTTTTAAAGTTTGTTGTTGTTGTTGTTTGTTTGTGTTTTGAGACAATGTTTCTCAGTTTAACTGCCCTGGCTGTCCTGGATCTCACTCTGTAGACCAGGCTGGCCTATAACTCACAGAGATCCTCCTGCCTCTGCCTCCTGAGTGCTAGGATCAAAGGCGTGTGCTACCAATGCCCAGCTTAAAAAATTTTTTTAAAGACTTAGTCTCATGAGGCCCAGGCTGGCCTTGAACTTGCTTTGTGGCCCAGGCTGGCCTTTAAGTTTTGGTCCTCTTGCCAGCATCTCTCAAGCGCTGGGATTATAAGTAAGTGATGCCACTCCCCTTTGGCATCACTCACAGGGTAAAAAAGCTCGCATTGTTTGTTTTTGTTTTTGGGTTTCGGGTTTTTGGCAGGTGCTGGAAGTAGCAACCATGGTTCTTGTTTTCTTGTCAAACAAGTGCTTAACTGAAATACTGAAATACACTCCCAGCCCTCTTCCTCACCGAACTGCAACCTTTATTTTTTTATTTTTTTGAGTCAGATCTTGCTGTGCAAAGATCTACCACAAACGCCTCCTGTACCCCCTCCTCTCTGCCCCAGCTCCCATCTGCAGATGGGGCCCGTGGTCTGCCCTGGGCAGGCAGAAGCATGCCCACTTAGGCCTGCAGTCCTCTGTGCTACCCAATAGGCCTCTGGGATCTCCGTCCGCGCGGCCAAGGGGAACTAGGGGCTGTTAACAGGGCCTCAGGCTCAGCAGCCAGTGAGGTGGCTGGACACTGGAGCACCCCTAGGCCTACTTCCAGCTTCTGACCCCCCTCCCGATCCAAGTGCCCACATCTTCATGGATGGCTCTGTCCGTCTTCCTCCATGGCTGTCGTCTCTCCCTCTCTGATCTGCAGACAGCTCAGAGAACATCTATGGGAGAGAACATCTTGTCTCCATTCTCTGTAATGGAACCTGTTTCATTTGCAGGACCACCCTGTCTCCATTTCTCCATCTCTTGCTGGATGGGATGCTGATCTCTTATCTAGGGCGTCACTGCTGCTTTCTTCCATCTCCCTGCTTCATCTCTGTAGCCCGCCTCCCCACAGCCCTGCCCATCGGTGTCTGGTCTCAGAGTCTCTTGCTCCTGCCTCTTCCTTCTCCCAGCATGGAGAAGGCACAGGTGGAGAGGCCATGCTCTGAGACCACTGCCATCCCGCCGCACAGCACAGCCTGGGGTCTGCTGCAAGGCAGCTGCACCCCCGAAATTATCCTAGCTCGGCCTTTACCCCTGTGGCCCCCAGCTTTACCCCCAGACCCAGAGACTGAGGTTGTGGGCTCTCAGACACCTCCCATCCCCTGTCCTTTCCTGGGAGCCCACGGGGCCCTAGTCCTGCTGCTGAGGGAGCTGTGGTTTGACGGTGGCCTCGTTCCCTCATTCCGCCCACCCTGCCCAGAGCACTCTAATTACACCGGGCTGCGGCTCACCTCTTCCCCAGCACTCCTGCCTGTCTCCTGGCCTCTCTTCCTGCCTGGGGCCCCTCCCTGCTCCTCACCCCCAGGTCGCTCTCTGTCTCCTCCCCCATGCCAGTATCCCCTCTCTGACCCAGCTTCTCCACAGCTGCCCTCTTCCCGTCTCATAGCTGCTCCTCACCCTGGTGTGCCCAGGCCCTTTCTAGTCTTTGTCTGTCTTCCTCGCGGTGACTTCCTTGCTGGTCCCAGACAGCCTGTTACTAGGTCTCAGCAGCTCTGCCTTCCCACCCACTCTCCTGAATTCCCTTTTAGCATCTACCTTGTAGAGCCCGTCGGTCTGCACGGCCGTCTCTTTGACTCCATTGCTGACCAGCCTGTCTGTTTTTCTTAGACTGTGGGCCCCTCCTCTACCTGCTTCTCTTTATGCTATAGGCCCCTCGTCCTGATGCCACATACGTGTACTCCCCCATGGACACTTACATGCCCACCTGCCCTTGCACACACGTGAGTTATGATTCAGGAACTTTCATTTGAAGGTCAAACACCACAGCAGATAAGGTGATAGCTGGGTGATTCGTGAAGGGACCGGAAGTAAGGAGCTCATGAAATGCTCTGGCCTGTAGGTCAGACCTGGGCTTGGGCACACAGGAGGACACCAGGAAAACAGTCCTTCATCGTCTGCTTTTTTTCTAGCCCAGACCATGTCCCTCCTCCCCGGGCTGGAGGTAGCAGCAGGATCCACTCACCCTGCAGAAGCATCGTCAGGAGAGGGCTCCCCGGAGGAGGTGGTACCCTCCATGCCCCAAGACAGCAGTCTTGGGGCTCACCAGGCTCTGAACAGCACTGACCTCGATGTTCTCACAGAAGCTGTGACGTGTGAGTCCCAGGGAACAGGGGTCTGGGGTGGCTACTTGCAAGGGTTGCCCTAGGAAATCCAAACCAGGTGTGTCGTCAGGAGTACAGGTGCAGCAAACTCTCAACCCCGTCAGAGGCCAGGCTCCAGGCAACACCCTTTGCCTCTGAGAGAGAGAACTGGTGTGCTGGGCAGGACAAGAAGCTGAAACATGATGCAGTGTACCCTTCAGGGCAGGACCCGGGTGCAAAGGAAAGAGAGAAGCCCCAGATGCTCTGGGAAGAAGGCAGCGAAATCCATCTTTTTTCCAGGCCTGGCCGGGGGTCTCCATGGCGCCCTGGGAGCCAGGCACACACAACTGCGACCTTCCGCGATAGCATCTCAAAGCAAATTTCCTGTCTTTGAATGAGCTTGAGGGCTTTCCTAGAGAGGCATTGCCATAGCTTTTGTCAAGCCTATTCTATATAGATGGGAAACTGAGGCACAGACCCAGACCAGACCAGGACACAAGCCTGGCACTCAAGTCTCCTGGACCCACTCTGCTGTGCCTACCTGCTTTGTTGGCATAAATAATATGCCTTCTGCACCTCTAGCGAGGGCATCTGGGGCCAAGCCGGACAGCCTGGAAGGAGGGTTCTTGACTCCCCTGAGAGTGTGTCTTCCGTCTTCTGCATGCACACGCGCGCGCGCGCGCACACACACACTTGAGAAAAGGAGGTCACGGCCATGGCCACAGGGAGGGGCCCCAGGTGAGAGGGGGACAGACACCCCTGTGTCTGTGGCCTTGAGTGTTTGCGCTGTGACTCAACACCACGCCCACCCTTGGCCACCCCACAACCGAGGCCACAGGCGAGCTTTGTGTCTGCAGTGCCTCCCAGGGCCCTGGGCTCACCACAGACTCCCTCCCTCTGGCCACTGTGCCCATGTTTAGGCAGCAGGACAGTGAAGCTGGCCAGAGGCTCGGCCAGTCTGCTCCGGAGCCAGGAGGATTCAGGCCTGGCCACTCCTGCGGCTTTGCTCCTGTTTGCCCCCACCCCAGCATGGCACCTCTGTTTCCCAGCTTGTCACTGGTGGTGTCCTCCCAGACTCCAGACTCCTCTCTGTACTTCCTAGGTGTGGAATCTTCTGTGAGGACCCAGCTGGGCCTCAAGATTTTTCATCTGAGAAATGTGCCAATAATAGATTGCTTGTGATGTTTAGAGACATTACTCATGTAAGCATCTTAGTACACTGTCTCGCCCCTAATACCTACTCAAAACGTGTTAACTAGCTACTTCTTATAAGAAGTATGAGCTGGGCGGTGGTGGCACACACCTTTAATCCCAGCACTCGGGAGGCAGAGCCAGGTGGATCTCTCTGAGTTTGAGGCCAGCCTGGTCTACAGAGCAAGATCCAGGACAGGCACCAAAACTACAGAGAGAAACCCTGTCTCGAAAAACCAAAAAAAAAAAAAAAGTATGGCAGTTTTCCTCAGTCCCTCAGTTCCCTGCCTCTGCCCCACCCTTTGCCTGTCCTGAGCCCAGCTAGGTATCTCAAGTCAATCCCACTTCTGCGATTTACCAGCTGTGTGACCTTGGGAAACTTACTTTCCACCTCCCGAACTTTGTTTCCTCATCAGGAAAAAAGATAGTAGTCCAGGCATGATGGTCTACACCAGTAATCCCAGCACGTCGGAAGTGGAGACAGGAGGATGAGGGACTTGAACTCCTGTTCAAGGTCATCATCGTCAGCTACAAAGCCGGTTTGAGTCCAGCTTTGGCTACAAAAGACTGGGGAAGGGGGAGTCTTATAAAGAGGATTCCACGAGAAAACAATTAGCAAGTATTGGGGACAGTGACTGGCCGGCACGCAGTGAGTGTTCAAGGGACAGAGACTGGTTGGCACACAGTGAGTGTTCAAGGGACAGAGACTGGCCGGCATGCAGTGAGTGTTCAAGGGACAGTGACTGGCCGGCACGCAGTGAGTGTTCAAGGGACAGTGACTGGCACACAGTGAGTGTTCAAGGGACAGTAACCGGCACACAGCGAGTGTTCAAGGGGACAGTGACCAGCACACAGTGAGTGTTCAAGGGACAGAGACCGGCACACAGTGAGTGTTCAAGGGACAGTGACTGGCACACAGTGAGTGTTCAAGGGACAGTGACTGGCACACAGTGAGTGTTCAAGGGACAGTGACTGGTACTCATCTGAGGGCTTGGGGGCATCCCCATGCTCAGCTTCCTAAAACGGGTTGCTTGGGCTAGGAGGGTAACCGGCCTTCCTGGAGGTCCCTCTCCGCACCAGCTCTTCTTCTACCCCCCCACCCCCCCCCCCCACACACACACCTAGACCCAGAAGCCCCTTCGTCACTCTCTGCCCACAGCAGCAGGGCAGGATGGGACTGCGCAGGGCTGAGGGCAAGAAGCAGAAAATAAAGGGGCTGCTGTGAGGGGCCCTCGAGTGCAGGGCCAAGCGTGTGTTTCCAAACAGATGTTCCCAATAAGTCACCCAGCAGCACCAAGGGCGAAAACAGCTGGGGGTTTGGCACAGGCCGGGGTGACGGTTAACTGATTCACTGCCATCCTAAGCAACCCCAGCCAACAGAGTCTCCCCGACCCCAGCGTTCTAACCCAGATCCCAGAGCCTAAAACAAGAGAGCAGATTTCATGTGGAGTAAGAAGGTGGGGTCCAGGCACCCCTGCTTTGTACCTTTGGTTCTGGTTTTGGTTTCTCTGCGATGAGCACTGCCGTGGGAGTTGGGAGCTGAGCCCCAGTCTCCGAATGTCCCACCGAGTCACTCTGGGTTAGTCATTTCTGCTTCTTAGGCCTCAGTTTCTCCACGTAAAGGACACAGGCAACTAAGAATGAAGCAGGCAGGATTCAAACCGGTCACTGGAGGGTGATCACTCTCTGTCTCCATCTCTCCAGGCCAGCCTCAGGGGAACCCCTTAGGCTGCACCCCACTACTGCCAAATGGCTCCAGCCACAACCACCCCTCAGAACTGGGCAGTGCTGGGCATGCGGGGAATGGTGCTCCAGGAGGCCCCAAGGCCCACCGGAAGTTGCAGGCGCACCCATCTCTGGGCAGCCAGGCTGGGAGGAAGAGCAAAGGCAGCCCTCGGTCGGCTTCCCAGGTCCCCCTGCAGGCACAGGAAGGTAAGACCCCTGCCATCCCACAGCCACAGACAGGCAGCATCACCAGCTGCTGCTTAAGAAATGCATAGTTCTGTGAGTTCGAGGCCAGCCTGGTCTACAAAGAGTTCCAGGTCAGCCAGAGCTGTTACACAGAGAAACCCTGTCTCAAAAAAAAAAAAAGAGAGAAAAGAAAAAAAAAGAAAAGGAAAGAAAGAAAGAAAGAAAGAAAGAAAGAAAGAAAGAAAGAAAGAAAGAAAGAAAAAGAAATGCCTAGCTCAGCTGGACGCAATGCTTCATGCCTACTGGCTCAGCACTTAGGAGGATGAGGCAGGAGAATCAAGGCCATCCTGGGCTACATAACAAGACCCTGTCTCAAGCAGCAATAAACCAGGCGTGGTGGCCCGCACCCCTACTGTCCAGCACTCGGAGACTGAAGTAGGATTGATGTGACCTGAGTTTGCTTCCTGGTATCCACATGGTGGATATGCTGACTCCTCCAAGTTGACCTCTGACCTCCACATGTATGTGGGATGTGTGTATCAAAAGGTAGACATCCAGCCTCCAGTGAATCATCCATGAGGCCCAGGGAAAAAACAGCTAGAGGCTGGGCAGAAGCCAAGGGGAAGGTTGATACAAGGGGTCCAAGAGCCTGGCTCAGAGGAGCTCTTGATGTCCTAGTAGCCTAGTACTCCTTGCAAAGTACACCCTGTCGGTGAGTGTCCCAGCCCGACTCTCTCAGGCTCTCTGACAAAGAGTGTAGCCACCTGGGCTGATCCAGCTTAAGCCACTTTATTTCTAGAATCAGAAAATTTCCACCAGGGGGTTGTGGGGCACGTGCTTAGCATGCACACGGCTCTGCTTTCCATCTCCAGCACCAAAGAAAATGAAAAAACATTGCTTTAGGAGTGGACCATCTGTTTAGTCAAAGCAAAAGGAGAGAATAAAATAATGCTGAGCTGTAGGTGCGGGTGGGGGGGGGGGAGGAAGTGGGGGCACCTACTCATGTTGGGGGACCCTGGCCTGACCCCCTGCGAGCAGGATTCAATGTGTGCATTTGTTGTTGCTGTTTTAAGATTTGTTATTTTATGTGTATGAGTTTTGCCTGCACGGATGTGTGTGCACCATGGGTGTGCCTGGTGCCCTCAGAGGCCAGAGAGGGTGTCAGATCCCCTGGAACTGGAGTTACGAATTGGTTGAGAGCCGCCATGTGGAAGCTAGGAATCCAACTGAATGGACTCAAACCCAGGTCCTCTGCAAGAACAGCAAATGCTCTTAACCACTGAGCCAGTCTTTCTAGGGTGGGCCCTGCCCCCCCTACCTCCCCACCTCCCACCACACCCCCGAATCTGTTAAGTAAGGCATTCTGAAATCTTCTCACCCCTTGGGGCAGATTCTGCCCAAAGTATTTTATGACAGGAAGCCATTCACTGAACTTGCTCTGGGGAAGGTGGGGAGGAGGTGCAGCTAGGTGGTAGAGCACTTGTCTAGCATGTTCGAGGCCTTGGGTTCAATTCCGAGGGGTGCAAGAAAATAAATAATAATAACAACTGTGGGTTCTGGGCATCTCCTGCATCCTGTTACCTAGCCCATGCCCTCAGTGGGCTCTCAGGAGAAGGGCACACATGGGATCATTATCCGCGTGACAGGTGCAGGTATAGAGATTGTATTAGCGTGGGAACAGCCACACCAGTGTGAGAGGCTGAGACAGGGATCCAGGTAGGGAACATGAACAGGGTGTGTTTGGCATTTGGCAGGCTGACTGGGACTCCAGGAGGCAGGGACTCTGGGAAGGTTTTTATTAACGATACCAATTATGTTGAGGGATGCAAAGACCACCTGCTGACACACGGGATGGTTAGGATGGACCAGGGATTTTAATACTGCAGTGATTTACCGCATTTGCATTTGAAGAGAACTACTGGATCCATTTTGGGCATAGATAGAAGACCTGACTGCCATACCGGATGCTGGATCGCATCAATGGGCAAAGTGTAGCTGTGGTGAGTCGGGCTGGGTGTTCTGTCCCCTGGCCTGGCCCTCAGGAGGGCTCCCTGCCCAGCACTCAGCAGGGAGAGCTACAGTCCACCAGTTCAACTGAATGCCTCTGTGTTCACTTTGTGTAGCCCAAGCTGGCCTCAGATCCTCTGTGTAGCCGACGATGACCTTGAACTCCTGATCCTCTTGCCTGTACCTGCCACGAGCTGGGGTTGCAGACACGCACATCCACAACTGTATACACGGTGCTGGGATAGGACTCGGGACTGTGTGACCGCACTTCGTGGGGAAGCATTCTACTGACATGTGGCGCATCTGTGACCATGATAGACCCGGGTGACTGCCCGGGCAGAACCTGTGTCTTAGTCAGGGTTTACTATTGCTGTGAAGAGACACCATGACCACGGCAACTCTTACAAAGAAAACATTTCGTTGAGGGTGGCTCACAGTTTCAGAGGTTCAGTCCATTATCATCATGAAGGGGAGCATGACAGCGTGCAGGCAGACACGGTGCTGGAGCTGAGAGTGCTACATCTTGCAGGCAACAGGAAATCGACTGAACAGTTACACTGAGGGAAGCTTGAGCAAAAGAGACCTCAAAGCCCGCCCTCACAGTGACGCACTTCCTCCAACAGGGCCACACCTCCTAATAGTGCCACTCCATTGGGGGCCCTTTTCTTTCAAGCCACCACAACCTAGCAAGGGTGAGATGACCATCTGCTCAAAGCCTTTTGTGCAGTGGGCAATGAGAGAGCTAGGAAGAGAGAAGTGTGCCAGAGGGTGGTGAGGGGTGTGCCAGGGTGAGGAGAATTCTCCTTTCTACTGGGCAGGGGTAGTGGAGCCTGCTGGAGAGATGGCTTCTGGAGAAATAAGGAGAGAAAGGAGTGAGACTACTCCAGGCAGAGAGAGGGGTACCCGCTCGGCCGTGCTTGGCCGGGGTTCCACCAGAAGGTCAGTTTGGACGGAGCAGAGTAGAAGGTGACCAGGAACAGTCAGGAAAGACAGCTCACCAGCCTGAGGACCACCAGGAACCTAAGCTTCCCCCTATAAGGAGTCCGCGATGCTCTGAGCGGGATCTGATACAGCCTCTGGTTCAGTTTTATTTTTTCAGCCTCTATTTTTAAAGGTCTTCCTGGCTCTGGGACAGACAACATATTGTGGTATAGCCCAAGACAGAGTGTGGAGCTTAATGAGTGAGGGGTGAGCAGAATTCTGGATTGCATATTGTGGTTTATTTGTTTCATGTAGCCCAGGCTGACCTCAAACTCACCAAGTAGTTGAGGATGCCCCTGAACTGCTGATCTTCCTGCTCCTGCCTCCCAAATACTGGGATTACAGGTGTGCACCACCATGCCTAGTTTCCACAGTGTGGGGAATTGAACTCAGGGCCTCCCGCATGCTAGGCAATCACTCTGTTAACTGAGCCGAATTCCCAGCCCTTTGGATATATCTTTAAGTGGCTAATCTCTGTACCTCGGTTTCTTCATCTGTAGAATGAGGCTAATTACAGCCCACCTCATAGAGTTGTTACAGGAGGCTTAGGCGAGTGTACTTCCTGCACAGCACTTATAACAGGGCCCAGAACACCTCTTCACCCCAGTTTGTTAAATACATAATCAGAGGGCAAGTCAGAACAGGGGCTCCCGGTGCAGGCTGCCTGGGCTCCTCCAACCCCACTCCTGTCCCTATAAAGACACTAGCCATTTGCTTCTCGAGGCAATGGGGACCACAGAAGCTGGGTGACACTGTAGGCGCTCAGCCGCTCTGTCGGACTGTTGGGGCTCCCTTGCTCGCGCCTCTCACTCGCCTACCCACTGCCCACAGATTGCTGCGTCCACTGCATACTGTCGTGTCTGTTCTGTGAGTTCCTGACACTCTGCAACCTCGTCCTGGACTGCGCCACCTGTGGCTCCTGCAGCTCAGAGGACTCCTGCCTCTGCTGCTGCTGCTGTGGCTCCGGCGAGTGTGCGGACTGTGACCTGCCCTGTGACCTGGACTGTGGCATCGTGGACGCCTGCTGCGAATCGGCAGACTGCCTGGAGATCTGCATGGAGTGTTGTGGACTCTGCTTCTCCTCCTGACGCCCCAGAGCAGCCCCAGAGCTGTCACACAAATCCTGACACCTCCCCTGACCCCAGGGCCCCCCCCAGAATCCCAACCCAGATGTGAGAAGGTGGGATGGCCAGAGGAGCCATCTCAGCCACGGGACAGGTCTTTATCAGACAAGCCTGCTCTCCTTGATGGGTGACCAGGAACACGGCATCTAGAACCTGGTGGGACAGGACCAGTTAGCTGCCAGGACTCAGAACACTGTGAAAGGTAGGGGTGGGGGGTGGATGGGAGGCCCATGTCCTTCTCTACCTCTCTGCTCCAGGTGCCCACCTCCCTCTGCTACCCCAGCTTGGAGGACAGAAAATGTGAAAAGACACCTGCCCGGCCCACTGCCAGGCCCCTTCCCTCCTCCTCGGCTCATTTAGGCTCTTGTAGGGGCCTAACCCTTATAGCGACCCAAGAGGGTGGGGCTTGGGGTGGAGATGGGTGGGGGGAGACAGTAAGGAAAAGACTGGAAGTGGGGTAGAGGGAGGGCCTGTGCTATCCGTTGCTGTAAATAAAGATATTTGTTCAGTCTCCACTTTCTTCGGGACTTGTGACAAAGTGTGGGAACGTAAATGCTCAAAAGCAAACCCTTCCTGCCGGCACCTTGTATGGGCCCTGGATGGGCTGCTAAGTAAAACACTCACCACACAAGCATGAGAAATTGGCTTTGACTCCCCAGAATCCACATAGAAGATGGATGTAGAAACCCGTGTCTGCCGTTCCAGCTCCTACAGCAAGACGGAAGGCAGACAGGAGACTCTCTGGAAGCTTGAAGCCCAGCTGTCACGCAAGAAATTGTTTCAAACAAGATGGAAGGCGAGGGCTGACCCTGAGGTTGTCCTGTGGCGCACACGCACGCTAACACACACACACACACACACACACACACACACACACACACACACACACCCTGTGCTGTTCTCTGGGATTCCTTTTTCTTCTGCTTTCTGCTTCCTAAGAAGACACACTGCCCTTCTCCCTGGCTCGTGGTCTCCCTTCCTGCAAGGGAGGGAAAAGGGTAGGTCCACTTCTCACCACTGTTCCCGATGCCCGCCAACTTACACGCAGCCCAGCAAGGGAAGAGTTACCCTTGGCTGTGATTAACAACAGATGTGTTCAGGCTTTGATTAATTAATCTCCTGCTGACTGCAGCTCCTCCAAGCTTCCCGATGGAGTTGCTCCAAGGCTCAGGCTGACCCTGTGTCAACCGCAGAGGGGTGCCTTAGGAAGAGGCCTGCACACCCTGACTTGTACCCGAGATCCTGGGGGTCGGGGGCAGATGTGGCCTGAACATGGGTCATATTCCCTGGCCCAAGTCCTGGGCCCCAGTTGCCAGAGGCAGGAAGAGAAGGAAGCCTCGTCACGACCACAGGAGCCTCGGAGGTCATGGGTCCAGTGACCCATTCAGGCAAAAAGTAGGATGTGGCCAGCAGTGGCAGACCCGGGTATCACTGATCTGCCCTGGGGTACGTAGGCCCACAGGGATCAGGATCAGGTCACATGGCAGGGACTTAGGGGTCCAAGGATGAGACTTGGCTGAGGAGGGACTGTGAAATGTAGCTGTACGAAAGTATGAGCGGGTGCTGTTTCCGTCTCCATGGCTGGAGTGGCTTACAGAATTTCTGAGGGAAGGACACTCGGAAGGGCTGTAGGCAACCCAAACTCTTTGGGAATACTACAGAGCAGTGCGCTGCCCTACAGAAGGCTGCAGAAGGCTGTGACCTACAGGCCCATGCCACAGGCCTCACTTTGCCTGCTTTCTGGATTCTAACACCACACTGGAAACAGGAAAAGACAGGACCAGCCTGGAGTCACAATCAAGCCATGAGAAAGCCCAAGGTTCCCTAGTGCTCATTAGTTTGTCTATATTCATTTGTTTATAATTTTTATTTAGTTACTGCAAATGTCCAAGGCTCGAGTCCAATCTGCATTCATATGCCTGTTTGTTTGTTTGTTTGTTTGTTTGTTTGTTTGTTTGTTTGTTTTGAGACAGGGTCTTTCTATGTAGTCCTGGCTGTCCTGGAGCTCACTATGTGGACCATGCTGGTCTCGAACTCACAGATCTGCCTGCCCCTCTCTCCCCAGTACTGGGATTAAAGGCATGCACCACCACATGCAGCTTCTTTTTGTTACTGTTTTTCAACAATAATTGTGAAGGTAATTTGATCCTCTCGGTAACCCCAGGGCTGAGGCAGAGCCACCGAGTGCAGTAGATGGGTGACTTGGCTTTATTCTTGTCCATTCTCAGCAGTCATGAACACACCCATTTACATAAATGTGCTATCTCTGAAGAAGATTCCAGAAAATGAAAGGTGGGTGTAATGGTGCATGCCTGTAATCCCACACTCCGGTGACTGGGACAGGTTACAAGTTAGCAACATAGTAAGACCATGTTTCAGACTGAGTCTGAAAGTGGCATCCCTGGGCACACGAGTGTCTCTGACACTCGCAGGGCCCCCAGTGGGCCTCTGTGAATGTCGACCACAAACGGCATCAGGCTGTCCCAGGCTCCCACTGCCCTCAGCTCTTTTCATTGGAGGAGACTTGGTAAGTGGCTTCTGCTCACCCTGGCAGCCTCAGATCTCCCTCAGTCTGGGGTTGGGGGCTGAGAGGTGGTCAGAAAATCCAGGGTAAAGGATGAGGGGCTCCTGACCAATTCGGCATCAAGCCAGGTGGGCAGGAAGCCCCTCCTGGCCTCCCTGTCTGCTCACAGACTGCTGGCAGAGGCAGGAAGAGGCACCTCTGCAGTCCAAACACTGATTTCCTGTTGTAGGCTCCAGGCTGTTTTCTTTAGGATAGTGACTGAATCCGAGAGCTGAGCAGGGTGGGGGCAGGACACGGGAAGGATTTAGCCAGGCTCAGCATGCATACTCATTCCTGTGCACATTTCTTCAGGTGTGTGTGTGTGTGTGTGTGTGTGTGTGTGTGTGTGTGTGTGTGTGTACACGCACACCCACACATATACCTTCATGTGCATACACTTTGCTTGACACACACACACATCTCTACAGGAACTCCCATTCATGTGCACACTCATTCACACACAGGCCCTTCTACTCACACCCTTACACACACACACACCTTCAAGGAACACTCCTCGACATACATACACCTTTACCAGAACACCTATTCTATATGGATTTTCCTTCATATACACATACCCCTACACACACACACACACACACACACACACACACTCACTCACATACATATACCCCTACACATATACACACCTTCATATGCATAACACACACACACACACCCCTTCATATGCATAACACACACACACACATTCACCTTCACACACATATACCCCTACACATATACACACCTTCATATGCATACCCCTGACACACACACACACACACACACCTTGATATGCATACCCCTGACACACACACACACACACCTTCATATGCATAACACACACATACACACACACACACACACACACCTTCATATGCATAACACACACATACACACACACACACATCCTCCACACAATCACATGGCATCCCCCACTCTACATTCCAGAACTGAGACTCCCCTACAGAGGTTGAAGTCCACCCTGGATTGCCATACCTGCCCTGCTTCCCCACCGTCCATCTTTCCCAAGTGTCCCCTCTCTTCCAAGAAGCTGAGAGCATTCACCTAGAGCTGTCCTCTACCGTTTGCACCAGCCAGCCTCCCGGGAAAGGCTCCCAGGCACCTCTTCTCTCCCCCACAATCCTCTGATGGCACCTACCTTTGCTCACAGCTGGACAGAGCTGGGTGACGGTTCTCAGCTGGCTCTGCTGTGGGTCACGGAACAAGGCCGTCCTCCTCACTGGGCCTTGGCATCCTCTGTGCACACTGGAGCTCAAGGGACTCTGGAGATCTGATGGCTGGAGTCGGGGAGCGCCTGCCTCTGCCTTTTCCCTGATCTTTGGAACACTACCCTGGCCACCCTTGTCCAGGACATTTCTTCACTCCCAAGCTGTCCACACCAAGGTGGCCGTTCTTACACTTGTAGATAAGATGAGGAGCCCAAGTGCAGCTGTCCCTGGCCTGAACCATTCTGGGACCTCATGTCCTGCCCTAAGAGGTGCTGCACAGTGGGAGAGAGGTTGCTTGCGAGGCAGGATGCTCACGCATGCCCTCAGCCTCCCTCATACTAATGGGCACTTAGAGTTTCAGAATACCACCCCTGGCTCCAGAGCTGCTGGAGGGGGCCAGTCGTGTCCTGGGCCTCTGCCAACCAGTTGTGGGGTTGGCGTGGTCACTGAGGCCATCAGGACCTGCTGCAAATCCCTATTTCTGGGTAGGTGGGGGCAGCAGGACTCCACGGTAGCTGGGAAAGCAGCATGGCCACAGACTTGGCTTTGGGGACACAGAGGGTGTGACGACAGGACTCATCGCTTTCCTGAGCTCTGGCTTTCCCAGGGAGAGGAGGGTCACAATCTGGGATGACACCCATGCCACAGGACCTCAGTGGCTTTGGCACCCTTTCCCAGCTCGGCCACCACCTCTCTTCTTGCAGTTCCACCACCTCTAAACCTGCTTTTAGGGGGATAGCGTCCTCATTACTGCGGAGGGGCAGGGGCTGGGTGTGTTGGGGGCGTTCATACACTGGCTGTCCACTACAGTCTCAGTTTGCACCCCTGAGAAATCCTAGATTAAAGACAAGGAAATACTAATTTACTCAGTTTATGCTACAGACCTATGGCTGTGCTGAGTGGAGGGCTGTGATTGGCTAGGCCACAGTCACGTGACATTTCTATGCCTTGGAGAAGGTGCACTTCATGGCCATCCCTCCAAAGCCCTGGAGAGTAGAGAAGGCATACTTTGGGGCTGGGGAGAAGGCAGGCTGGGAAACGAAAACAATGGGAGCCACTAGCAGATTAGACTGCTCTGTGGGGGCAGGAGACATGTTTGGTGGGGTTGCCGGCCTCGAAACCCCCAACAGTGACACACAGCTCAGGAAGGATGCATGCCCTCGACATCGATGACTTGGTGGAGACGGAGGTGAGGTTAAGGCAAGGGGCAGACGGATAGGAGAGGCTTCCGGCTCCAGGAGAGAGGGAGAGTAAACAGGGTCCTAGGAGCTAACCCCCCAAGTGCAGCTCCCCTGCTCCCAGACTGCTCTGGGGCATGGGTTGTGATGGGTCCTTGTCCTGCTGTTGACCAGGTGACAGGAAAGACAGACAGTGGAGTGTTTCCCAGGTGACCCTCACGATGCCTTCTGAGACCCTCCATGGCTCACCCACAGCGACATGGCCATCTGATGAGAAAGAAATACCAGGACGCACAGAAGATGAAGGTATGGGGTGAGCTGGAGAACGAGAGTCAGGGCTGGGGGGAGGCTCAGCAGGCAAAGACACACACCAAACCCACAAATAAAATGTGATTTAAAAAGGAAGAACAGC